ATTTTATTTTATTTTATTTTATTTTTTATTATTTTTTATTTTATATTTTACTATTTTATTTTATTTTATTTTATTTTACTCATTTTATTTTTATCCCTGAATTCTGTGAAGAAATTTGTGGCCACACTATATGGAAGAGGGCTTGTGTCTGGTACCTACAGTAAAAAGTCCTCTTGGGAAGGACTTTATAATTTCACTCCAGACCACACGGCGAAAGGGCACACCCATCAGCTGCTTCACTTTCATCATCCAAAGTGGGTCCTCGCTCCTGTTTGTCCAGCTGTCATCCCAGCTGGCAAAGGACGATGCTGGCCCAGGCTTTTTCGCCCAGCAGAACCCGTGCCTCCCTCTGCCTCGGCACTGTGCCCTTTTCTTCACAGATGGCCCCGATGGCCCTGACTTGGCCTTGCATGTTCAGTTTCTTAGATTCCAAGCACCAGTAGTGGAAATCATTTCTGAACTCCAAATAATGTTTTGTTGTTGTTAAAAAAAAAACGGCATTTATTTACGCTATTTGTAAGCGACCCCAATCAGTTACAGCTCTGGATGGCAAACCACAAGGCAGAAGAAGAAAATAATCCACCACATACAAACAATATTGTCCATGCCGGAGATGAATGCTCAGAATCAATCTATCTGAGTCACACACATGCTGGAATAGCATGGATTTAACTGCCTTGTGAAAGGCGTGGAGAGAGAGAGGGGTCAAATGTACATGTAGAGGAAGCATGTTCCAAAAATGGGGGCCATGAAGGAGAAGGCCTGCTGCCTCTCTAGATATGTGGACCAGATGGGCAGATTCAGTGCTGGTAAGGCAGTGCCTGATGGAACTTAGTGTTACCCCATACAAGGCTTTAAAGGGGATAACCATCTCTTTGAACTGGAGTGGGGTGACTTAAGACTTGGTGGGGATCTGCAATGGTGGGGTTGTCCTGTCCTCTTGGGCATCCCATTCTGGACCAGCTGCAGCTTCCAAGTCTTCTCAGAAGCCAACCCCATGTAGAGTGCGTTGCAACAGTCTGGCCTAGTGGTGATCAGGGCATGAATCACCCTCAGCAGGGCTTCCTGATCTAGGTGGCATTGCAACTGTACACCAGCTGAAGCTGGGCAAAGATGCCCCCACCACCATCTGTTCCAAGACAATCCAGAGAATATGTGGGTATAACCTGCTCACCCACCTGGCAGGTGTCAATGCCTCCTCCCTCAAATCCAGCACACAGGTTATTGGTGGAGATGCTTCCATAATACCAGTTGCTGCTGTTGCACTTCTCTGAGGATATGAGATCCACCTTGGCCTCCTTCAGGACATCTGATGGAGCCCTGGCTGCAAGTGGAAAGAAGGTAGTCACTGAATTTCTCCATGCACGTTCCTTTGCCTTCTCCTTTTTCTCTGCTATTTTAGGAGCTCCCATGCTCCACTCCCAAGAATCAGCAGGCCCTCCCCTCTCCCCATCCCCTGAGGTGGTGATGCTCAATGGGCAGTTGGCTCTGCTGAGGGCAGCCGTCTGCAAGGGGCCCTGTGGTGAAATGCTCCTGCAGCCACTTAGACAATTCTATGAGTAGGAATTGTGTAGCTCTTTGGCTTGTGTGGAAGAGAATGATTGATGTAACGCTTCCAATAATACTTGGATTAGCTGATGACATAAAGGTAGTGATTATGTTTAACTACACCTGGTGCAATTTTTACAAATGGACTGAAAGATGAAACTCAATGGAAGCCCTTCAGTGTATGAATGGAAAATGAGTAGGAATGTGCTAGTGACAAAAGGATGGGAAGAGGCAAGAAGCCACCAACGCTGCCGACCAGGAACCTTCCGTGTTGCCAGGAAGAGAAAAGGAGAACCCCCTGAAAGTTATCGGTGCTGAAAGAGCAAAACAGGGTTCACCATGTCTCTTGATTCAAGGCCATACCAGGCTTTGGATGTGGCCTATCGAGCGTTGCACCCCAAAAGTGGGTGAGGCCAGGGGTGCATTAAGCATCTACAGGGCACAGATTTTATCCCTTCAACCCAACACAAGTCCACAAAATACAAAGGAGACGCAAATGTGCATATGTCAAAAGAAGTTTAAAACAAACAAACAGCCTTTCTGAGTGGTTTTCAGATGGAGATTGTGGAAGGAAAACCACAAGGAGGATGGGAACTCTTCCTTCCCAGGTATGTCTATAGCAAAGTATGGCTGCAAAAACTGGAGAAGAGCTACTAACTCCTTCCCCTTCTGCGTTTTTTTTCCCCCCTTGGTTAAAAACCACAGCAAAGCTTCTGGTACAGTATTTTTCAAACTTGGCGACTTTAAGATGTGTGGACTTCAACTCCCAGAATTCCCCAGCCAGCACACTGTTGTCTATCCTTCCTCATGCCCGGTGACCCCCTTTCTCTGTCCCTGTGAGTGGCTGTGTCCTTCCCAAAGCAACGTCAACATCAGCACCAGCCCTTTGATCTGTTCTGAATGGTGGGAACAAATGAGAGTCTCCCCTTCATGGCGGCTGTCTGATGCCTTCATCTGGTTTCCTGCCCTAACTAATGACCTCTCCTTCCTTCTCTCCTTAAAGCAACCTAGAACCATCTCAGAGAAGGGCAACAAGGATGATCAGGGGACTAGCGCTCAAGCCCTAGCCTTGAGACCGGAAACAACACCAGAAAGGGTGTCATGTAGAAGAACCTCTTCTCCTGGGCCCAGAGTGCAGAGTGTGGAAAAAGGAATTTAAGTTACAGGAAAATAGATGTCCTTAAGAGTTGGACAAGAGTGAAACAATGGCCCAGGTGGTGAGGTCCCCTCTGCTGGATATGTTCAAGCAGAGGCTGGATGAACATCTCTCGGGGACGCCTGCATCTGGACTGTGCACTGAGCAGAGGCTCCATAACTTCAAGGCAAGACCACACATGGGGGGATGGGGGAGTCAGAAAAGTCAAGATGGTGTTTGCAACCACACACTTGAAGCCCTGCCCCTTTGTGTCACATGTGCTATGCTGTAACAAAGGGATATGGCTTGGATCATGTGCTTGGGGCCACACTCTTGATTTGGTTGATCTTCCCCCAGCAGATGTCCTTTCCACTCTATGAGTCTATGATTACTGGGACCTCACAGGGCAGACATAAAGCAGCGTGAGAAGTCTTTCTTGGGGCAAAGGATGACTTTGCGAGAGCAGCGTCTGCCCTTCTCCCCCCATCCCCATGGCTCTTACCTTTCTCCCGCGTATAGCCCCACCCAGCAATGTAGCAATGGACCATGGTGGAGACGTCCACCGAGCTGTCTGGCAAGCAGGCGGGCTGGATGTAGTCATTGCACTTGACGGGGTCATCCAACTCCACCAGGGCAATGTCATTGATTTGCTGGCGTGGCTGGTAGTTCTCGTGCTGCACCACCCTCTTGGGGAAGCGAACCTCTGCATCAGGGCCTGGATGGGACAGTTTACTCGTACCAAACACCAGTTCCCAATTTGTTAGATACCTGGGAGAGAGAAGACAGTTAGAAGCTTCATTGAAGATTGTCCATCCACCCCAATATTGGGCATACCACCTTAAATCACACAAAAAAGGAAGCTACACTGAGAGGTTCCTCAGGTTTAGAGGGGGGCAGGCATCTCCAAGCAGCCTCAAAATGATGTGCCCCCAAGAAGGAGGCTGTGCTCAAAGATAGCAAGGCCATAGAGAGGTCAGCAGAACCAACAGGGGTGGACATCCCCTGGCCAGTCCCCAAGGCCTTTTTCAGTCCCCAAACTGGAGCTAAAATCGGTCTGAAATGGATGAACACATACAGGAAGCTCATTTATTGTATAATCAGGGGGATCCCCAGGGTGTGGTCAAGATGGCGGCTGGGACAGGGTGATGAAAGCTCTGCTTGTTTTCACGTACCCACGTGACATTCATACAAAACAGGCAGCACGTCCAATGCCCATCCCGGCTGCGCACCAGGGCCGCCTCGCCTTCTCGGGCTCACCTTGTATCTTTGAAGCAGTGGGCAGCCGTGAGGATCCATCTGGCACCAATGAGTGACCCTCCGCACGTGTGCTGGTACCCAGACTTGAACGGGGTCCGGATGCTGACCATCCAGGGCCAGGTCCCTGGCAGGGTGTCGATGCCTCCCACCACGGGAAGGGAGTGGCTGGGTGCCAAGGGGCGCCGTCCGCAAAACCCGCTGGAAACAGCAAGAGCAACAATACCTTGGAGTCTCCTGGCAGCAGTTATTGGGTTAGGTCAAGCCCTGTTAGCTGGTAGTGCGACGTAACCGAATCTCAACAGCTTGTAGAGGCCATTCTCCCACCCAGCTTGTACCTCCTTGAAGGGGGGCGGGGTTGTCTTTGCAGCCTCGCTAGAAAGAGAGCATTAGCTCAAAGCGGGAGGGACACGTACGCAGGATACCTTGAGGGTATTCAGGGAAGGGT